GAAACTTATATGAGGATTATGAAAAGAAAATGTTTGAAAGAAAATTAACATATGAGGATGAAGAAGATGATTGTTCCAGTGATGATAGTTCTGAAAGTAAAGGAAAGGAAAAAGAAATTAGTATTACTGAGATTGATAATAACGTTGTTAAGAAAGGAAAAGAAAAAGAAAGTATTACTGAGCTTGATAATAAAATTGCTAAAGAAGAAGAAATTAGTATTAATGATCTTAACAATAAGATTAATGAACTTAATCGTAGGAATGATGAGATTAATAGTAAGGTTGATAAATTACTTAATGTAATATTAAGTAAAGAAAATACTGAGATTGGGAATCTCAAAATTTAATTTCTTTTATATTAAATATTTTTCAATAACCTTTTAGTAGAAATTTTACTGACATAATTTGATTTTTTGTTATTGTGTTCTTCGAATTTAATGATGAATATATAAGTATTTAGATCTTAATTTATCATTAATAGTAAATCAAGAAAACAATAAATTTATTATCAAACAGTATTTATATTTTTAAAAGTTGTTTGTTATTAAGTGTTCAAAATCTAATATTACAACATAAATCTTTATCGTTAATAAATTAATGAACGTCATAAAAAAAATCGTATATCATTTCGGATGAAAGGCGTTAATAATTTTCTTTTGTGGCGAATTAGAATTTAAATCGTGTAAGAAAGACTAAGTATATTGAACGACAAGCTGCGCAAAGAATCTACTGCGCCTTCAATAAGAGATGAATTTGTTAGACCTTTGATAACTTTACAATGATTACGTTTTACACACTGATTTTCCTTCAAAAAATAATTTTATATGTAGTCATCGAAATGACGTTCTCATGCCTGGATTATATTGTCTATATTTGAGGAATTCTGAATCATTTGATAAATGTTCGTAAATATTCTGACATAGCGCATGTTAGATCTGAACACAAATATAGGATAAAGTAGGTATTATAATATAAGTTTTAAATTGTTCTTTTACTACAATACTTTTGTTAAAAAAAAAAAAATAATAATAATAATAAAAATGAAAAAATCTATTAGAACCTATGCTGTATGTTATACTCCGATGAATTTTTCATAAAGACAGCCATAAAGACCATAAAGACAGCCTTTATCACAAATAGAAAAATCTCTGTGCTAATTTGTCATTACAATTTAAAAATTCATAGCCTAACAAAGTTTAATGAATGATACGTAATATACGTAATATTATAAACTTTAAAGCAAGCTGATAATTAATTAGTCTTTTCATTAAAATTAACCTATACGAGATAATATAAAGAAAGCGTTAATCTTAACGTTTTCTAAAGATGATCTTTTTATATAACGGAAACAATTGACAGATTTAATTTTATAAAGGACAACCACAATAAAATATTTTCTTGAGTTGGGATAGTTAATTATAGACACTACTCGTACAATGTTCATGTCTAAATCTTAGTAGTCGACTATGTAAATTCTTATATTTGTTTCAGAATCTACACGATGATGCGTACTTTGCAAATATAAAAGTAAATTAACATTCATCATTATATAAACGATAAACTTACGTCTAACTTATTTCTTACAATCATTTATAGCTCTTATGTGACTTGTTAATAGATCTGTAATTTTCTTAAATAATTTAAATTCACTGTGATAGTAAGGATAGGCCAATCAAGCTATCCAGAAAACGTGACGAGGGTTTGAGATCTTTAGCAGGACTAAATAAGTGTGTAAATATTTATCTGTTGAAGTAATATCATTGTATTCATTATTAAATATATAACTTTTTTATTTTTACTTCAAACATAAATCAAAAGTCAAAAGTTAGGTATTGCAGAACTAACTTTTCCGGGTGGTTTCAATTATTTTAAAACAAGAAATTTTTAATACAGAAGAAAATTTGGAAAATTCAAAATAAAAGAAGATTTTAATATTGAACGTGTTAAATTGATGCTTGGGAAAACCAAAGGAACCTCTTTTGAATTCAAAAATTAAATTTATGTAATTGGAAATAATTTATGTTTATTTTTTATAAATCACACCGTTTTTTATTAAATAATGGATCACCGTTCAAGAACAGAAAGGTTAATTTACATTGCTTTATTTTTATTATAGTCTTATTTATCGTTGTATAATTATTCGGATTTAAATTCATCTATTATAACCGGTTAAAAATAAATCTTCAACCAGTTAACATGTTAACAGTTTTAACCGGTTAATTAACCGGTTAAAAATTAAACAGTTCCAATCTCTACTTACAGAAACTTGGTTTTCTTAATATGCAGTAACTGCAAAGTGACTAAATAGTAAATATATAGTTACTACCTTACTTGGTAGTAGCTTAATCGCAGCCTAATAAGTCACTATGTAGTTACTGAATAATAAGGAAACAAAGTTTTGCTTACCGCGTTGAAAATATAAAATATCTGTGTGTTCATTATTAATAACATGTCTCCTGTATGTTTTTAATTTCGATTGAGGAATAGATAAAAGCTAAGACATCGAGAATGTGTGCTCGTTGAGGAAGCTTCTTTCCATCCATAAATGTATGACTCTTCATATCAATAATGAAGATAACACTACTGGAATATATGTTTTCAAGTAACAACACAGTCAACAAATCAAATTTGTACCTACTTCGCTTTCTTTCACGCACGCAAAAAATTATCATATCGTGGAAACCATAGAAAATGTTGCCAAACTCATCAGACATCATAGCTGAATTTTTGGATGTAAAATGCGTTTCTGTCTGGAAGATAAAAAAAAAAAAGAGGATAACATATATTTTGTTTATATTTTTCTTTTGAATTTACTATAACGGAAACGAAACTTATATAATAGTATAATAGACGTACCTGTTCGTAAGTTGTTCATTACCTTATTTACATTAGATTAGAATAGTTTGAGTATTGTTCATATGGGTTGATTGCTAGGAAAATCAGGTTCCGGGAATTTTTAGCAAAATTAAGATTTTTATTGCATTTTAGTTTTTGATGTTATTAGATTAAAATGTATTAAGCTCTTAATTTTAGTCAAAAATTTCTCAGAACCTGATTTTTCTAGAAACACTTCCAGATGGTAAGTTATTTTTATTAATTAATAGTATTTAATTATATTTGTTATTGTAATTTAAATCAATTAAATTTTTTATTTATTTAAAAAAAATAAATTATTAGATAGTAAGTTACTTTTATTTTATTAATTAAGTATAATTAAATTAATAATATAAAATATTATTATTATATATTTATAAATATATATATTATAGTAAGTATTATAATTTTATATTTATAATAATAATAAAATAATAATTATAATATTAATTCTATAAAATATTATTATTTAAAAAAAAAAAATATGTTCAAATTATAATAAAAATAATACTGGATTTCTATGGTATAAAGAATGTTATTCTAATTTATTTCAGCAAAGTTTTATTAATTAGACTAGTAAAAATAAATTTATTGATGAATTTATTCAAAGTATTCAAATAAATACTTAAAATAAAAAGCAATTATTAGAATGGATTCCTTATGATAAATTTAAAAATATTAAGTATCTTAATAAAGGAGGATTTAGTATTATAAATAAAGCAACTTAAATAGATGGATTTATTAAATTTTATGAATATAAAAATAAAAAATGGTTTAGAAATAATAGTATTGATAAATTATCAAATCTAAATGAGGAATTTTTAAATGAGATATAAATAATTATATTTAATTTTAAATAATAAGATTTAAATTAATTTGTTTTTATTTTAGTAGAAATATCATTTTAAATATTATAGTTAATTAAAAAAATATTCAGATAAAAATCTTATTCAATTATACGGATTTACTCAAGATTCAAATCTTTAGATTATATAGTAATAATGAAATATGCAAAAAATAATAATTTAAGAAAAAATTTATCAAATATAATAAAAGATAAATGAATTATTAAATTATTATAATTAAATAATATTATTAATAGATATCAAAAAAATCTTATTCATTGTAATTTTCATCATAGCAATATTTTAAATATTAGAAAGAAGATTTTATCTATTAGTGATTTAGTTATGTAAACCTGTAGAATAATTTCAAATATTTAAAAAAATGATATTTATGGTGTATTACTATTTATAGCTTCTAAAGTTTTAAGAGATTAACCTTATACTTTAACTAGTAATATATATAGTTTTTCTATGATTATATGAGAATTAATATTAGGAGTTATTTCATTTAATAATGAAGCTTATGATTTTCAACTTTGTTTAGAAATTTGTAAAGGTAAATATCCTAAAATTATTAAAAATATTTTATAATGTTATATAAATTTAATAAAAAAATGTTGGGATATGAATTTATTAAAAAGGCTAACTATATTAGAAATTAAAGAAATTATTCATAATTAGATTACAGATATTCAAAATAATATTTTTAATATAGAGTTAAAAGATAATATTATAAGTTTTTATAAATCAGATAAAATATTAAAACAAAATCAAAACAATAATTTAAATGATATATAAGATCATTCACAAGTATTTTATATAAATCATTTGCTTAATTTTACTGAAAGATTAAAATGAAATTTTAGATCTTAAATTTAAAGTTTTAAAATTAGTAATTATTATAATATTTATATAAATTTAATAATTTCTTTAATTTAATATATATACTTTTAATTTAATAGAATATCACAATTGATAAAATAAGTAAGTAAATTAAATATAAAATTAGATATATATTTTTAATTTATTTATTTTAATTTATTATAATAGATAAAAATAATTAAAATATATTTATAAATATTAAAAATTTTTTCTTTTATAACTATATTATGATCATTTTTATGAAATATTTATTTAGTAACATTGTATATATAATAAATATTATAAAAAATACAATTTGTAATTACTTAAATAAACTTTTATATTAAATTATAATGATTAAATTAATTAAAATATAAATTAATAATACTTATTTAATTGATTTTTAAACAAATAAAATTTATAATTAATATAAGTAAATTAAATCTATAAAAAAGTACTTATAAAAAGTAACTTTTTCTATAAAATATATTTAATGAAATTATACAACATGTTAAAAATTCGTATATTTTGGCTAAATTTATTACAAATGATGGTATAATTGATTGTTATTCTGGTCAAGTTCAATATTATTTTACACATAAGGTTAATTTGTCATCTGAAAAGGCTGAACATTTTTAGCATTTGTTCATTAGTATAAATCTGCAAGTTCTTCACATATGCAGTATTATTTTAGCGAAGAGAAACATGTAATATTGAATTATAGGATACTGAATTTTATCTGAAAAGTCATGATTATATAATACCAG